GTCCAGCTGACACTGCTTTGAAACAGGACTCTTTTTCTGAGGGGCAGAGGCCTGCTGAGCCGCACTTCAATCCATTTTGGGTTTTGACTCTTTTCCAGTCTGCAGGGGAGAAAGAGAACATTTTCAATCTTCAGACAGGGAACCCGGAAATGTCCTCCAGCGAAAAAAGTGCCAAATCCCAGTTCCTTCACTTGGAAACATCTTCAGAAATTTGATCCTTCATCACAGCACTAGACAGCAGTTCCCTTTCAGGCATTCCAGCACAAATTGCACTGCAAATAGAAATAACAGATGATTAACTTTACGTCTCTTTCTTTTCATACTGACTCACGGCAAGAAGCAAGAAGCCTAAATTCTCCAGCAAAATATCCTGGCTTGTGTGAAGCTCTGTAGCTGGGGAAACCTGAGACGGATCAAAGCGCTTTACCACCGGAGTCTGATCTGGGATTCCCGTTAAACTCCGGCAGTCTCTGCAGGTGCTCATGCCTGTGATGCTCTGCTTCTGGTCTCTCCCCTGCGCCGTCACCCCCACTCCCCATCCACCAGCTCACTCCTCCTGCACACAGGCCGACAGATACTCGCCTATTACAGCAGACTTCGACAACACACCCTTTTCACAATTCACTGTGGGGAGGCTGGGGCGCTCAGCACCTTCTGGAGTATGACAGTACAGATGCGTCTCCACCTTCAGAGCACTTAGCAGCTCATCACCACTCGGGTTCACTGCTGCGGAGGGGGGGCACGGCTCATGCACGGAGATCACATGGCAACATGAAAGGGACGCAGATGAAAATAACCAGCTACTGTACCGCGCACAGCTCGCTGTTAGGAATCTGGAATTCACGCACTGCGAGTTTTTACACCTCGAGCTCTAACTCCTAGTAACAGCTCCAGAAACGACAAGTATGCAAACGCCGCTTTGGGGGAAGCGTTCCTTGCATAAACTTCTAACTTAAATGGAAAAAAAAAAATCACATCTAATTGCGATCTCTCAGCAGCATTACACAAGCCAGGGGGAACATACTGTACACACACGCTAACAATCTGAGTGCAGACTATCACACGGGCAAGAGAACTAGCTGCTTTCCCTCTCACTGGCAAACACCTACCGGCATCGTTTCTGTTTGACACAGGAAAAGAGCTCCTCTAATTAGTTGACTGTGCCAAGCTGTAAAACAGGTACGCACCGGGGCCCAGCACGCTTCAGCTGCTCAGTCCCCAGCATCTTGAGAAGATCTGTTGGCTGATTAAAACATACTGTGTTTCCGCGCCAGAAACATAATGTTTCAGGTCATTTCTAATTGCAAAATAAAATAAACCAAAAAAAAACCCAAGATGCAGGCTGGGTATGTTTCCTGGGACAGGCTATGAGATCTGAATGCATTAGGTAAGGAGTGTCTGGGAGGCTGGATTGTTGGTTAATACCAGCAGCAGTGATGACAGGGTAATGAACGGGTATGAAATAATTAGTGGCTGCCCTCCTCAATGTCTGTGTTCGTTTGTCACAGTCCTTGACTGTACACTGGGCTCCGAGAGGGAACAGTCTGGGGCAGCTGGGAGACATGAGACACAGCCCCTTCGACAGCAGCACCTGCTTCAAGCACAGGAGGGGGAGGGCCATCCTGGAAACCTCACTCACCTGCAGCTGGGCAGCGGGGACAGGATACAGCTCCCCAGCCCACAACGTAAACCCCTGAAACCAAGTCAATTCACTAAGCGATGTGATGCCAAGATAAGCCGTTTTTATCACACAGTTTGCGTTTCAGAAATTAGGTTTTTATCATTCCAGTTCATCGGAGTAACTGAACCGGATAAAAACTTGTAATTACTACTTAAGAGGAATCCACCCTAATCTCCTTCAGCAGCAGGGGAGGGAGAGGCTGCTTGTGCGAGTTAATTAGCATGCCGGTGTGCTAATGTAGGTGAGGCAGGGGAAAAGATTAATTGAGAGAATTAATTGTCAGTCTCTCCTGTCCTCACAGGAGTTAAACAGGGATGCAGCTGCAGCAGCTGAATCTGAGATAAGAGGAGAGGCATGGTGATCAGTGCAGTAC